ATATATATATGAATGAGTGATGCAAGAAAAATAAATTTGTAAAATTCTATACATAATTTTTAATTAAAATTAAAATTTAATTATAATCTAATAAGTAGATTATGTTCAAGTGTATTTCACGAGAGTAAAATTTAAAAGATCATTAAATGGATCATGATCATGTTGGTGTTCCTCATTGATTCTGACAAGTAGGGTGATTTTATTTTCATTGCATTATTGATCTTTTCAGAGTTGTTGCTTTTGTATTGAGTTTTCCTCCATTAGAGTGAGTCAATGGTCAATCAAGTGATCAACTCAAAGTCTTAGATAAGTACTTGACAATGGGAGGGAGTGGATCCAAGCGTAAGATCTCTTGTGTTAAAAGTCTTCTTAGTGACATTGAGGCTAGATAGCGTGTTTTGTTGATTCGAACTAACGACAATGCAAATATCCTGAGTTAACAAGTGTGGCTAAAACTCTAAGGGTTACTATACTCGTAGATGAAACAAAGGTTTTTGTTAAATGGAGGTTAAATCATGGTCTTTTGTTTGAGGGGAGGTTAGATAGATACAAACAAAGTCCCACTTCATTGGACTATGAGGAGAAACAAAAGTTTATAAATTACATATAATCTCTATTGATATGAGACCTTTAAGGAGATAACCAAAAGCAAAATTGTGAGAGTTTAGATCTAAAGTGAACAATATTATACTAATGTGAAGACATGTGTATGAATCATGAGCACCCAACAAATCATGCTTAAAAACCTTCCATGGTGAAGAAGGGTTAAGGAAATAGGCTACAATTAAAGATCATGTTAATCCTTTATATTAATGATGTAGAGATATGTATGTGAATTCTAATCGCTCAACAAATCAGGCTTAAAAACCTTCCATGGTGAAGAAGGGTTAAGGAGATAGGCTTCAATTGAACATCATGTTAATCCTTTATAACAAAAAAATTGATCATGTTTTAAATAAAAAAAATGAAAATTATTTAGCTAAAATGAGGTTGTTAGAGGGAAGAGCATCCAACAAATGCTTTAAGAATCAACTTTATTTTTTTGGTATCAACAAAAATTCACCAACAAATAAAATTAAGTTAATATCATTCATTTAGAAATAATATAAATTAATTAACTAATTAATAGGCTTAAAAATTGAAATATAGAAAAATAATAGTTACAATGTATATATATTAAAATATAACATAAAAATTACAAAATTTTGATAAATCATGTAACTCACAAGTTCATGTCTAATTAGTTTAATCACCGACTCACTAATTTAGAACTTGACTGAGCCTGATCTAGTTTTAATAACACTCTTTAGCTGGTTTACATTCTTTATAATAAAGTGTTTTCATTTGAAACGTGCAAGTGTTATTAATGCCTATTCTAAAGTTAACATTCCATTCGATTTTCATAAATAAAATAAAAATATTTTTAATTACTAATTCTTAACTGATGCACTTCATTTTATTTATATTAATAATCGAAGACTCTATTGGTAGCCAACCGACTACGACTTACCAATCTAATATTAAGCAATTTAATTTCAAATATGACTAACTTTTAATTTATATTTTTTAATTTATAATATATTTCCCTTAATTTATAGTTATGTGTTTATTGAGCCAAATGTAATTTTGCAGTAAATAATTATGAAACAATATTTTTTATTGCCAAAAAAGTAAAAATATTACAATAAAATTTCGTAGAAGTTTTCTACGGAAAAAATTTGCTTGAGAATCCATAAAAAAAATTGCTGCAAAATTACTTACAAATTTTCATGAGAATTTAAATCTAGAGGAAACGTAAAACATTTTTGGAAACTATCTTGTGGATTATACTCTGCAAAAGAAAATTATATCATAAACATATCAGCAGAAAAATTCACAGCAAATTCATGCAGATTTTTTATTCAAGAACATTTTTAAAAAGTGAGGAATATTGTCATCCAAGCTTATATTTATTCCGTGTAGTCAACTAAACAAGTATACAAATAGTGCAGGAATTACGCTTATATGTTAAATTATTAAATTCTCTATAGTTTCACCAAATTTTGAATAAAACTGTAGTTTAATTTTTTCTAAAAATATAAATACATAAATCCTTTCTCATTTACATTCATTCTAAGAGCAACATTAGAATTAAGAAGCCATGCAATTGTGAAGTGTTTTAAGTTGCAGGACTAAGTGCACATTCTATTTCTTCCAGTGAGCGACCTTTTGTTTCCACAACATTACCAGCTATGTACATGACAGCAAGAAGACACACAGTTGAGAAACCCAAGTACACAGTACTGATGCCAAACATGTTTACCACACTCAGGAAATAGAGTCCAATGACAAAGTTGGATATCTGATAAGAATTCCAAAAAAATGAAAAAAAATCCACATTTCATCATTAGTAATATAATAAGAGAAAGAACAAAACTTAGATACACTACATTGTTGTTCTCTATTCAGTAAAATTTTACCTCAACAATATACATAACAAAAAATCCCATTGAAAGTCAATGCATATTATTGAGATAAAATTTTAATTATGATAAAAGAACAATACCAGTAGTATCATATGTAAATTTTAACGTAAGAGAAAATAAGATATGCACTGACAGTATAAAGTGTTTTTATATTGTCATCTAATTACAAATTATTATGTATGATAAGTTTATTACCTTTGATAATAATTACCTAAAATATCATACCAAATATGATTTGTATTTGATTGACAGTGTAAAAACTTTTACATGGACAATGCATATCCATTAAACTCCTATATTAATTACATAAAAAATAATTTGAATTATAATGAAATGTGTTTGTTGTTTGTGAGAACCCCTTGAACCACCACTACATTACTTGATTTAAAATTTACACAGCATCATAGAGGCAGTAATTAGAGTGAATTCACTTACCCAGTGCGTGCCTAATGACAAAGAAATTGCTTTTGCTCTGATTCTAGATGCAAATATCTCTGGGAGAAGAAGAGCAGGGACAGGACCAGCACCAAGAGAGAAGGACAAGACATAGCTGTTTAAAATTCATAGACCAAAGTCAAAAGAGATGTCGAAAACAAATAAAACAAGCTAGCCTCGCCCTTTCAGTGTATGGTATAACTTCTACTGACAAAATCAAATGACTTACAGGACAGTCCCAAGGACTGCAAGGGTGCCAGAGTATGGTGCAAGGGCCTTCCAAGTAAAAGACACAGAAAGAAGCAACATTGAAGCAGCCTGGAAAAGACAGAAAAATATAGGGGGTTAAGAAAATGAGTAGGTTATATTCAACAAGAAACAATGTTAAGCTGTTTAACCACTAAGGTCGGCCAAGTGGTGAGAGTTGAAGTAGTAAGCAAAGGCTCCTTAGTTTGAACCCTGATGCTATTACTGTGATAACTATGGATAAAAAAAAGGTCAAGCTGTTGAGATGAAAATTTGTTTTAATTATACCAAGAAAGAAAAATAGAAAGAGATGTCATGTAATGCAGAAGGGAAAAGTTTTGAATTAGATAGATTTATAGCTAGGAATAGCTATATAGCTATCAGCCAAATTATTCCTTCTCTAACGTGTAAGCATAAAATAATAATTAAACATCCCAATTCACAAGTCTTGAAAGTATCATTCTTGACAAAGAACTTGAACAACTTTTTTTTTTCCTTCATTCAAAAATCAACACTCAGAACAGGAAAAAAGAAATTATTCCGTGGTTAGACCACTCAAAATTGTCTTGTAATTTCCTATTTTTAAACATTATATAGTGGTATCTGCACAACCTTCCAATCCCAAGTAGTGACCAGAAAAGGGTATAACTATTAACTCTTTATGCAAATCTAACAAGTTTTTAATTTTGGATTTTCATCTCCCCTCAAAGGTATTAAACCAACAAAAATAAGTAAATATTACAAGCTTAACAAGAACTTATATTTACAATCAGTCATCGCACAGAGGAATAGAAATTACAAAAGTAATTACAAACCCTAAATCCTAAAGCTACAATTACAAAAGTAATGATGGCCAGCCCTTCATTGATGCACATTTGCATGAAAGCTACACACACAGAAAACAAGCAATTGAGACCAAAAGAATCCAAATCAAATGCTCAGACATTTTGCTTTAGGCCTTAGAAAAATGTGAGTTGAAAGTAGTTATTACCATCCCACTAAAGCTTGTGATAAGGAGGCTTTTCCTCCCTTGTTTGTCCATCAAGGACGAAGCAACAATTGTGCCTGAAAGAAAATCGAACATCAGTCAGAAATAATATCATGTTTGTGCAAATTGTGCGATATCAAAATTTTAGGATGAAAAATACTAACCAAAAACATTTGATGCACCAACCAGTGCACTTGCTGCAACATCAGAAGCAATTCCAGCACTGCGGAAAACAGAAGTTGAATAATAGACCACAGCATTTATTCCAGCCAACTGCTGCAATAAAAAAAGTGCTGCCCCTACACTAACAACTGCAACAAGGAATATTTTATAGAAATGCTACACCAATTCACTAAGCATTAATCCAGAACAAACTAAAAAATTGGCATCAGTTGCGAAACCAAACATTAATTGTGATGAAATTAAGATATATCTTCATAACTTACATCAAAGGGAAAAGGAAAAGAAAAGAAAAATGCATTAACAAGTTGAATTCCACAGTTCCATGAATATTAACAATGATTATGGTATTTATGTTGGATCCTACTGTACATAAACACTCACATAAGATAATTAATAATATAATTGCACCAAAACCAAACCATCAAATGCTACATGTTTGCACTTAGCACCGAATACTGATAGTAACAAACATACAGAATTAACTGATGAAGGCATAATAAATATCCGTTCTTTGCTATGGAAATTCTGCTTTAATACACTAGAAACCTTAACCTTTGTTAGTCAAACATGGAATTAGGGTAAAGTTTGGAATACCTTTCCTATATCGACTACTAAACAGATCAAACCATCCTGCTTCAGGTTCAGAAGAACCTTGACTTGCTGCTGCCAAGTCATGCATAACCAAAGCAACTCTTTCTTTTCCATAAAGTGTTTTAACAGCCTTTTCAGCTTCAGATGTTTTTCCTTGCTGTAAAATAATAAATGTAATTTTGTCAAAAAATATACAGGAAAATTATTGCAATTGTACTAAACCCTTAATTATATACTTCAAAAGAAACTAAACATCATACACACACACACACATATAGATATATGACTGTTCTGTTGTTTTAAGATAACACATGACTTCTCAACAAAAAAAATAAAAATAAAAATAACACATGGCTACCATAACTCTACAATTTAACTCAATTAAAAGCTTTAACGATGCCACCACTAGTGTCTCTAGAGATTTTAAACATTAGCTCTTTTCTTTAAATAAGCTAATCGTTTATTTGCAAAGTAGTCACCATAGGATATTACAATCCAATGTATAGGTTTCTGAAATTAATACATAACAGAAAGTTCTTCAAGTGTTTAAAAGTAGCAAGTCACACTCCTTGTTTAGGAAAATGTGGTTTCCTTGTCATATAAATGTATTGTTCCATGATGAAAGACAGTTAGTATTGCAGGACAACCTGAAAAAGCCACCTAGGACTTTCTGGAGAGATAGTCATTCCAAGCGCCAACAGAATAGATGGGACTATTGTAATTCCAAACATTGTCCGCCACCTGATAAAATTGAAATACAAATTACATGAAGGAGAAGAGGATGCAAGTTAACGAACATACATGCACAACCAATTATGTATTCACACCACAAATGCAAGGTTTTTACCACCTACAGTACAAGTACAGCAAATTAATAAGTAACTAACAAACAAGTCTTCCAGATCCTCCAAGTAAAAACCATGCGGATAGTACTGGAGATAATGGCCGTCTATCAAAATTCTATTGGAATACTAGTAACAGAAGGAATTACTTAGCAAAATTTTCTTCTAGGATAAAGCTTTCCTTTGCCACTTTACTTATTACTCATTCATGAAAGACATGTATCTCCACTTTTTTTCACATGGATTGCTAACAATTGAAGGAATTTTTTCACTTCTAAAATTTTCAAACCAAATATGGTCGTTTCCAATTTTCCATCACAAATATATATGCTTTCTGGAAGATATCCTCAAAAAGAAATAACAGCTGACAAGATGGTAAAATCTAACAACTCAATAGTCAATACCATATGGGATTTCCCACCAAAGGCAAACCAGCCAGTAGTGCTGCAAGAATCCCGATACATATAAAAAGTTGATTAACAGATCCAAGTGCACCACGAATTTCAGTTGGAGAAATCTGTCCATTAGAAGGAATCACCATGTGGTCCATATAACATACATAAACATGATCATGAAGGTTAAAATAATTTATAAAGGTATCACCTCAGATATGTAAAGTGGTACAATTGCAGATGCTACACCAATTCCTATACCAGCCAACAAGCGGCCAGCAATCATTGTCTCAACACTCTGAGCAGTAGCACTGTAAATGCATTATAATTTAACCCATCAGTTTAAAAAATAAAAGATAAAACCTTAAACTCTAGGTAGATTGACTGACCAGAGGAATCCTCCAATTGTTAGAGGGATTGAATCCAACTGAAAAGTCCTAGTTCTGCCAAATTTGTCAGCCAATGCTCCACCGGTAAATGAACCAACAGTAGCACCAGCAAGCAGTGCACTAACAATCCAACCTGTTCATGGATTACATCTCATGAAAAATATGAAAAACCAAGATGAATAATTCGTGTCAAATTAGAATTTTGAGATACAAACTTTTCACAAACAAAAATACTCTTCACAAACTGCTAAAGTAATAAATAAGTTCAATTAAATTTTTCATGCCATAAACCTTAAGTTTTTTACCTTCTAAATAAAGAAGTAAAATTAACAATTGCAAAATCATGTTTGAATATATGCTGAAGACATGCCTTGTACAAAATAAAAATTAAAGAGCTAAAGAATAAAAAAGAGTATTTGCATTAAAATAACATCTTCTGATAATCAATCAAACAATGTAATTTAGTATGCAACAACAATTAACAAAAGGAAAAAGATGTACTATCAGAAAAATGACAGAAAAATATGAGGAGGAAACAGAATACTGAAAATGAGATTGTATTGCTCTCCCATAACTGGTACGCACAGAAACAAGACTTATATAGACAGCCAAAGAAAAGTAAAATGACACCTAGCCTAACCAATTCTGATATGAGAATCAGTAAAACCACTAGTTTATGTACAGCTGTCCAAAATTGCAAAACGGAATGCATAGAGAATATTGTACAATGCATAGAGAATATTGTACAGCTAGCTTCCTTCTAGAATACGGGCATCTGTATCCCCTGATATGTACCTTGTAGAACAGTATTATGGGTGATTCCAAGATCCTTCGCAAGGTACTCAAGAGCACCATTTACCACCCTATACCAAAGAGGGTATTGTCAGAGTTTCCTACCTAAAAATAATAATCGAAGAAAATCAGTACAATAACAAGGAAGATTCAATATCAATATAGGACTCCGGTAAGTTTTTTTCCGCCAATAACTTAAGACAGCAAGAAGTGGCTTAAGTCATTCAATTTAAATTACAGTACACATAATATAATATGCCGCATTATAAGTCCATTTTGATATATGTACCAAATGAAGATGAAATCCATACCCAAGATGATAACCAAATAACATGGCTCCAAGGCAAGCAACACCAACATAGGGCAGAACAGTTCCAGAAGGTTTGCCTGGAATATTTGTGGGAACAAGATCCTCAACATCATCATCTGCAACGCAATTTTAGTAAGAAGCATCTGAGGGGCATAAGCACATTCATAACATTCACATTACTGATGCAATGTTAAGATCCATCAATGGATAAAATAAAAGAAAGCTGTAAAGGATAATACAATTAGAATGCAAGTTTCAACCCAACAATCCGCAATAAAGGTTTGCATTAAAGGTCAGCATAGCATAGATAACAACACTCAAATCAGCTAGCAAATTGCATCTACATTTTGTCCTACAATAAGCTCTAACTAAGGAGATTCCAAAACAAACTAACAATGTCTACCACAATTTGTATTTCAACATGTCGACAAGGGTTCAATTCTCTGACCGTGCATATGGATAAAAATGTCATTTTAGTGATTTTCACACTTCGAAAGGAAATAATTTCTGACCATTGGTCGAGGAATATCCTTACTACAAACCAAAAAAGTAGGAAATTCCAAAACATTTAGATGAAATTTGGTGTTGGTATATTAAAACAATTATCAAATAAGCCAGGCAGGCATCCAGCAAACAAGAAATCAAGCACAAATGAAAAACATGTGTTTGGTAAGCATTAAAAATAGATCCTACTGAGAATCGGAAACAAAGAAACAAACTAAACAGAAGAGAAAGAAACCAGGAGGTTGAAGCCTGAGTGATCTAGGCTTAACCGAGGAACCAAAAATGCCACCGAAAGCCCTTCCTCTAATAGTCAACTCAGTTTCCATATTGAAGGAAGCAGGCCTCAAACCGCACCAGCTACTCATGCTCTTGCACACTCACTTTTCGATTCACATCTATCTCACTCAAAATTCCAATACCCCAAAAGTCAAGAACACCTGTAACTGGGAAGGGAACCGAATCTAGGACACTCGCCTGTGTCAGAAAATCATGTAACGGAAATTATATTTCTGAAAATATATTTATGTTCATGCATCATAAGTATCTTGAAATATTGAAAATTTCACTCAGAAATATATAATGGTAACATAAAAATATTTTTATCAAAAAAAATATTTCTAAGAAAATCAATTTTATTTTCAAGAGTATGTCATTATAATCACTAATGAGAGGGGAAAAAAAACTTTGTTTTTTGAGATATTTTTATCCTATAATTACATGTGTTAGTAAATAATTTTAAAGCGATATTTTTATTTTTTAAATAAAAATTAAGAAGAGATGAATTAAAAAAAAATCTGGTCTGAAACAGTAAAAATCCCCCAAATTATATTACTTACACGTGGGGTGCGTTACTTTTCTATGCTACGTTTCTAGATCGGGTGAAAGACTTTACTTTTTTTCATTTGACTTTTTTTTTTAATTTAAGAGAAACATTAAATATATTTTTAGTTTTTCTAAATATAAAAATATTTAATTTAATATTTATAAAAAACTTTATACTCTCAATCAATTAAAAATTATTGTTTATATGATTTTAAAAAGAATTTATCTCCTTATTTTTAGTGGATTTTCTTCTTCCAATTATATTTTTCAATATTCAATAATTAAATTTGAGAATTAATTTAAAGAATCGAATTCAGTATTGCTAACATTGGATAAATATGATATAGTTTGGATCTTTCTTTTAATATAAATATGTTAATGATTATGCAAAATGACTTTTTTTATCTTTTATTAATTATTATCATATAATTTATGCATTTTTTTAAAAGGTTAAAATTATCAATATAATGTATGCATTAAAATAAAATAAAACTCGTCTTTGTATAGATAATCACTATCACCCTATCAGTATATAAATAAATAAATAAATAAATATATATATATATATATATATACAAGGCCCGTCACTTTCAAAAAAAAGTATATATAGAAGGCCCATTAATACTAGTCCTATTTCAAGACTGAAGAGAGACCGGTCTCTTGGTTGGGCCAACTAAACATGGCCTTCTTAGCTCAAATGAGCATCTTCCTACTTAATGAATAATAGACAAAATTTTCAAGGCATAGAGATAAATACTAAAGAATAAATTCTTTCCAACAAAGTTTATTTTATATACATAATCTCAATTGGATTCAAAACCTCAAATATCTAAAAGTTCAATAACACATTAGTTAAACCAATGAATTGATCTCCATTAATTTATAAATTTTTTTCTATAATAATATAATTAATTTCCTCATTGCAAAAATGATTCTATATCCTTAACATAAGAAATTAACAAAATTATCAATATATTTTATGCACAAACAACAATTTATCCCCTCTAAATTCACACGTGCATCACGTGATCCCATGGTCTAGTTATTAGTAAGAAAACAAATAATGTCACTACAAATTAATAACTCATAAAAATATTGTTCACCATTGACAAACCTTGATAAAATATTTTGAGGGGACCAAAATATTTAAATACATATAATTTAAATACATATAATTTTGGCCATTTGGACCAGCTAAAAAAAAAAAAAAACTCGATCTAGATTACTGGTGTTAACTTTTCGTGAGTACTAATTTAAGAAAATTAAAAACAAGTGAGCCCTTATAATGAGTTCGATCACTAACTAGCTAGGTAGGTAGGAACTAGAGAAGATAGATTGTATAATATAATATGAATCATTAAGATAGATGGAAAGGAATAGGAAAGTTTTTGTTCTCTTCCTGGTTCCTATTCTTTTCACTTGAATTTCATGCATGAAATGATGTATAACAAACATCATTTGCCCATGTGCTTTTGAACAATACTTTCTCCACCTAACCTTCTTTCACATGGAAATTTCGTTAAGGACAATCAATATATAGGTTCTGACCCTTCTTTCTTTTATTTATATTTTTATAAAAAGATTATGATTTTGTACTTTACTAATCAGTTAAAGCCTTTTCTCTTTTATCTATCTTTTTATTGTTTTAGATTCGATTCAAAGCACGCAGAAATTGTTTTGGGACAAAAAGATAGTTTTGCGAGGACAATATTTACATGTATAGTCCATTTATGATGCAAAATATAGTAATAGTTGGACGACAAACTTAATTACTTAAACATATATAGATTGTGAAGAGAGAGACATGTTATATAATGATTCATGAAGGGACTGCATTTAGGTTTAGGTTGTTGAACAAAACATATATAAGGTCCCAGCAAAATATCCTAAACATTGTCAGTGGCCTCTGTGCTAGCTAATTTTGTTGTCATTATGGACAATATGAAAGTGGGACAAGCTGAGTTGAGTCCGACAAAAAATGTTTCTACAACAAATGAGAAATACTATTATGCACGATCTTTTCCCACCACTTGAACATAGATTAAAATTGATATAAAGTATTAAAAATTACGACATTTAATACAAATACAAAAATTTAATAAATGGGTTATTTTCTAATATTTTATTAGTCTTTAATTGTGTTGATGAGAGGATGAGGATTTAATTTCCAACTAAAAATAATTATTGAGAGAAACAAAACTTTAATAATTTCTATGTCTTGAAAAAATTTAATTAATTAATTTTTTAAAAAATAATTAAACTTCGCCTCTGATTTCTACATCTCATTGAAAGAACTTGGGGTTAAATATGTATTTTATCCTCCAAAAATTAATTCTATTTGATTTTAGTTCCTAAAAAAAATTATTGATTTTAATTCTTCAAATTTATATAATATTTTTTTAATTATTTTTTAAATACCGTTAATTTTTGTTGTTAAAATATGTTATATCAATATCTAAATTACTTTTAGTTTTATTGGCATGGAATTTTTTTGATTTAAAATATTAATTATTTTAGGATAAAGTTAAAATTTAGAATAAAAATTAATTTTACACTTAAATTTTTTTGCTATTCACTCACCTAAACATGATGGTTAGAAGTGCTTTATTTTGTTTATTTTATTTCTCTTTGTTATCATATCAGTAGAGAAAGTCAAGAATCTCTCTTTTTTAAAGGGAACACCTTGAAGTTTGAAGAAGAAAAAGAATAAATGTTGTTTAAAATAGTTAATGTGTTGAAGGTTTCAAGAGTTTAGAAGATTGTCAACAAAGACGTAAAACTGAATGTTTATGAACATAGTAATAATGACAGTAGAGAAAATAAATCTTGCTTTGAGTTTGTAAATTTTTTTATTAGAATTTGGTGGGAGTTTATTCAAGTAAAAATAAAAATGAAAACTAAACCCTAAACTTTCATACATGTATCTGTGAGTAAATAGTGAAAAAAATTTAGTGGTTTATTTTAATACTTAACTTAACCATAAAATAATTAATATGTTAACTTAAAAAGAATTCATGTTAATAAAATTTATGATAATTTGGATATTGAGATGATCTATTTTAATAGTAAAAATTAACATTGTTTAAAAATAATTATTATATAAATTTAGAGGATTAAAATCAATAAATTTTTTTAAAGACTAAAAATAAATAAAATCAATTTTTTGGAATATTTGAGCTAAGAAGTTAATTTAGTTAATTGAAGAATAGTATACGCTTAAACAAATCAGCCACTAGGACTAAGATTAACTAAAACACTAGCAGAATTTCTCTTATTACATGCGACTTTTCTTGCGAATTTTTCATAAAAATTTACAGGAAACGTTGTTCCTGCAAATTTTTTTGCGAAATTTTATTTGTAGGTAATACCTTCGTGAATAATATATTTTTGCGAATTTTAAAATTCGCAGAAAATTTTCCTGCGCAATTTCTTGCGAAAAAAATTCACAGAAAAGTTTCCTGCAAAAAAAAATTTGCAGGAAATTTTCCTGCAAAAAAAAGTTCGCAAGAAACTTTCCTACGAATTTTTTCGCAAGAAATTCTGCAGAAATATTTTTTATGAAATTTTTTTTAAAAAAATTACTATAAATTCTATATTTTAAGAATTTATAATCTTTTATTTTCATGCCTCATACATAATCTTTTAAATTCTAAGATTGTAGATTATAAGCCTAACACTCAACCATACAATTCAACTTGTAAGGTAAGCGTTACTCCAACTTATATACTCTTTAATTGTTTTATTTTCAATCGATGTGGGACTTGAAGATTTTTTAAAATATTAAACTTATGAATTTAAATATATTTTTTTATTTTTCCTGCGAATTAAAATTTGCAGGAAAATCCGCAGGAAAAGTTACCTGCAAAATTTTTCTACCATTTAGTAAACATTACTTGCGAATTTACTTTTGTAAGAAAATTTGCAATAAACAAAATAAAATTCTTACAATATTTTCTGCAAATTTTTACCATGGAAATTTTTTTTACATGATTATTAAAATTGTAGCAAAATTTGTAAGAAATATCTGTAAATTATTTTTTGCAGGAAAATTGACAAAAAAATTCTACGAATATTTTTTTGCAAGAAAATTTACAAAAAATTTCTGCAAATATTTTTTTGCAGGAAAATTCGCAAAAACTTCCTACGAATATTTTTTTGCAAGAAAATTTGCAAAAAAAAAATAATATTTTTCTAGTAGTGAAAGGTTGAATTTATAATTATTTGTGCGATTCAAATATTAATTATTTTCGTGTGGTGTACTTGTGATCACGTGCATGACAGTGTTGTCAACCATGTACTTCATTAAACATGTCTAGTGCTTATATCATCTTAATACATTGAACCCAACTGATGGAAGTTAGTAAGATTCTTAGAGATTTTGTCCCTATAATTAATGGCTAACTCAACGTCAATCACGCAAACATGCTTCACATACATAGCAATATAGCATTCATGATTCCAATAATCTCATTACTTTATCTTTCAATGTTTGACTTCCTCAACTAACTACGGAGTGATTTGTTCTATGTTTCTCATCTTGCAAGATTGCTTGTTTCCTTTTTGTATAATACTTGTTGAATATGACAAATAACTATTATAAGAATTAAAATAACGTATCTAGCGTTAGCTTAGCAGCCATGAAGTAGATACCCTTTTGTTTTATGTGCCCAAACCTACCTCACTCAATCATTAAACTTTTAATTTAATTATCTAATACGATTTCCGTGGCTTACAACCGAATAATATTTTAAGTTTGGGACGTAAACTAACTTTTAGTTGAGTTATTAAGTGGAAGACATTTTTTCTTTGTTCTATATTTTTGTCATTCACTTAAGTCAAACCTAACTTATTTAAGCCAAACGATACTTCTAACTCTTGAATTAACTAATGTTATTAACGTGGGTGTAGGAACTAGAGCCTATACATATGAAAACAATATGATGTATCATAATATATAAAAAAAATTAAATCTGACACTTACTTGCGTAATATAAGTATATACTATCACACATTGTTTGGTCTATGATAAGAAATATGCTGCTCTGGTTTCGTGTCATACGTTGAAAAATTTTCACAACAAACACAACCTCTCGTCCTCTTTTTCTTTTGACAAATGATTATGCTTTCCTGTTTCCGAACATGCACTTCAACTCTTTTATAAAAGCCTCTCATATAGTTTGTAGTTCACACATGTATACACATTATATTTTGGTGCATATCTTTAGCACTCAGTTTAATTTCTGTCGACATCATGGCTGAAATTGAATACCATGCAAGATCCAGTTCTAGCACTCCACCGCCTCTAAAGCTGTTCGGCATCAACATTAACAAGTCCCCAAAAGAGGACACTGATGAATCATCACGTTCAAATAGAAAATATGAGTGCCAGTACTGCTGCAGAGAATTCGCAAACTCACAAGCCCTAGGAGGTCACCAAAACGCGCACAAGAAAGAGAGACAACTCTTGAAACGTGCTCAAATGCAAGCTGCTAGTGGCTTTGTTGCTTCACACATCCAAAACGCGATCATGTCATCAGGCTTCTCATCACCATATCACCAACCTTTGTCATGGTTATGCACGACACATGCTGGTGTTGGTTCTGGTGTTGATCCTAATATTTCAGGAGCCTTTGTGGCTCCTGAAAGACATGTTGTCTATGCTGCGGCTGCTACTGTTTTCACTGATGGCCGCGGCCACGGTCACCCTCTACCAGGGTTTGGTGACTTCAAGAGTGGTGGCGGTGAACGAGGGTTAGGCTTGGATTTGCATCTTAGCCTATGAGTTATCGTGAGTTAGATTTTTCAATTCAGCACTATGTCATTCATGTGTAGCTACTTTTGTATTCCGACTTGTATGCCAATGTAAATTTTGTTTAAATACTGCATTGATTACAACTACTGAAATAGCATATGAATCAGAGATAATTCTTATATTGTAAGTCGATTTTGAATTAAATTAAGCCTAGATCTAAATTATAAGAAGTTATCAGAGTTAATTTGTTGGTCGACACTGACAATCGGATTATCAACAAATGTAATATTATAAATTTGACAGTTGAGATGTACAAATTCTTGAGGTGAAAGAAATGTTGGAGATCCATGTCTGCTAACAATTACATCCATATTCAAATTTTAGGGATAAAAGATTTTTAATTAATAATTTTTCATACGGATCTAATAAGAATTTTCTTTCTAATGAACTTTTAAATTTAATCCGTTTCAAATAAATATCACGGGTTATTGACATTGAGAATAATAATTACGAGTTCCAACTTTGCTAATATCAGAAGGAGAGGGGTGGTTAAAAACTTATCATATAATATTTTAGTCTTAATCCAAGACCACAAAATCTAATCGTAATTAAATCTGTAATTTCTATCGCATATTTAGTTCCCGAGTTAGAAAGTAAATGGTTTATTGTCTGCCACTAGATGATGGCATACCATAATTAGAGCCGATAAAGTGAATTATAGTCCGTGGATAAATTTAGTCTATCATGAAAACAAGTAGAACTGGACAAAAAAAAATCAAGAATTTTATAATTGATCGAAAAAAATGAACTCAATTTATTTGAGCTGAATCCGTGATAAGTTGGGTTGTCACCTAACAAATCTAATTATATCTCTCATTAATTCAACTTACTAATAACTTATTTAATTATTTATTATTGTTATATATGTATTATTTTAATAAAGTATTATTTAGATAAAAATAAAATTAATATTAAACATATGAAATTAGTCTAAATTTATCTACTCAAGCCTCCAATAAAATTTAATATTGATGGACAACTATTCCAATGACAAGAATTTTTTTATTTTTTTGTTTTGATTATTTAAAATTATATATTTTTTTAATTAAATTTAATGTTGTATGCATGATGCTTAATTTGATAATATTTTATTTTAGATTAGAGGATATTTTAGATTAAATTTTATTTAAAATTAGTGTTTTTTTATAAAAATAAATAAATTAGATGGGTTGATGGACCTACCCATTTAGCTCACCAACCCATGATAAGTCAAGCCAGATTGAAAAAATATTAAACATTAACGCAAGTGGGCCAAGATTGGGACAATTACTTATAAAGTGGGTTGAGGTGAGATAGACAAAATGGATCGAACTTGAAAACTCTAATCATAGTACTTGCACACTTTTCTAGTTGAATTACAATCTATCATTCAATATTATTTAGTCAAGCAACAAAATTTGAATGATTAAATGTAATAGAGGTCTACCATTTAATATTATTGAGTGTTATTCCTAACATGTTATTATTTTTTTTTTTATTGAATTACATGAAAACAATTGAGAACCTAAGACTTTGTATATAATACTTTAACCTTTATCATTAAGTTCACTTTAATAATTTTTTTACTTATTTTACACAATTTGATATTATTGTCATAATAAAATAAAGGTTAAATTACATTTTTAGTCCTTCTATTTTTTGTTAATTCACAATTTTTGTCCCTATATTTTAAAATATAAATATTTGGTCCCTCTAATTTTAAAAATATAAAATTTTGGTCCTCCCATCAAATTAACATCTACTAATCATTAAGTTTTAACATTTTTAATGGACTTTTATTTATAATAATCATGTAAGAATTAATTTTCAATATTTTTAAAATAAATTAGCAATAAATAAAATAATATTGTGTTACAATATAAATTATTTATCATAAATTTAAAATATAATTTATAAATTTAAAATTATTTAATTATAGAGATGATAAGTAAACTTGTACTCGTGGATATTGCTTAAACCCATCTTAACTTTGATAAGGAATATTCAATTTGACCAGACACGTGTATGGATAGTACTCAATTTATATTTATTAAATCAGGTACGAGGATTGAGATAAATATATACTCACTTGTCTTGTGCCCACTTTAAATTTATAGAAACTTAATTTTTTAAAAAAAATATTTGATATTTATATAATTCTAACTTTATTTTAACTTTATGTCAAATGAAACTTAATTAATATAATTTTGTAATTACTATTTTATGTTGAATTTTTTTTTTATTTTTTAAAAAATATTAAGTTAATTTCTAGGTAGGTGTCGATATATCTAAAACTTGACGAATACAAGAATGAAAACACAAATTTCATTCATGTCATATATGAGGACATGGTCGAGGTTAAGATATGTCAATGGGGATGGGATATACTGAAACTCGTACTCACCTGCCCTATTGTCATCCTTGTCTTTTTATATAAATTTTAAATATGATTTATATGTTCAAACTAATATTTATTTGTATATATAATTTATTATAAATTTTAATATAATATGATAGATATTTAACTTATGCATTATATATGTTAAAATACTAGTTAAAAGAATTGTTAAAAATATTCCTGAGAAGTAATCCATAAAAACGTTGTCACATAAGATAATTATTTATATTTAATATATAAAAATTAATTATTAATAAATATAATAAATGTTTTAATAAAAAAATACATAAAAAATAATGTTATACAATTGGTTATATTTAAGTATCATTTTTCTATATGCAAACTTACTCTAAAGATGATCCAGGTGATCCTAATTTCATTAAAAATTCTCAATAAAAGTTAGTGATCGGTTATATAATCTTATATGAGATCTTGTCTTATTCTAATCTAATTTTTTTTAACAAAATAACTTATAAGTATGATTTTTCTTATTCTTATTTTTATAATTTTAAAAATAAAAGTGCATACAAGAAATCATCTCCAAATTTTGACAAGTATAAAAAAGGATTTATAAAATGATGGAGTTTATTTAATTTAACATTTTTAGAACACATAAATCAATACAACTATGCGAAAAATATATTTTTCTTATAACTAAAATCAACAAATTTTTATAAACTATCTGATTTCACTACTTGCCATTTTTCTCCTCCTTTCAGCATCTATGACAGGGTTAACCTGAAAATAAATTGATCCAACGGTTGAAATTTGGTGTGGGTTATTCATAACATTCTATTTCCTTCACCCAAAAATCTTTGAAGCCTCATCACCTCTTTGTTATTTATCCATTGGGTGCAGCGGAATCTCATCTTCTATGTATTTTGTTTGCTCAGTTCAAATAAAAGCTTCCAGATAAAAAAAAAAAAAACCTTTTTTTCTACCACTCTCACCTAAACCCATTCAATCAAACTAAACCCAAATTGCTTCAGTCACCCTCGGTAGTAGTTGCTGCCTTCTCGGTGGGTCTGTGAAGGCGTAAAAGAGTTCAAGTTTGCGTTTTTCGAAAAATCGGTAATTTAGGTGTTTATTGTTCTTTGAAATTTCAACTTGTTTGATTTGTTCTTTGAATACTGGTTGTGGGTACTGAAAGCTTAATGTTTAAACTTTAAAGCATGCTATTTGCTTCTTGAAATTCTAAAACTAATGGTTATTACTATCCTCTGTTTGAATTGTTATCAATTAGAAGGGGGAAATCACGCTGAAAATTTTGTTGGGTTGCCCTTTACGTGTTTGTGAATATTTACGTTGTGTAATGCAGAGGTTCTAAGAGCATGTTTGGGTAACCTTCTCTAACAGTATTTCTTTGGAAGAAAATAATAAGAAAAAATGAAATATTTATGTATAAGTTACATTTAGCTTATAGAGAAGTTAGCGTAATTTTTCTTTCTTATTTTCTTCGCCTAAAAATATTTATGGAAAAGTTTATCCGAATTAGTCTTAAGTGATTTTACTAAAATTTGGGTTTGCTGAAATCTCCTAGTTATTATTGCCAAATATATGATGAAATGTTTTTATACTGATTGCATATCCTTTTCTTTTATTGACAGAACAATGTTGCATGTTGCATCTGCCCCAGGCTTTTGCTTAACATATCCCGGGAACCTTCATTATCCTCGTCATTTAAAAAATCCTTCAGCGAAAACAAGTTTTTCTGTTTGTTGTTCAGTATCACAGACAAACAATAGAGCTAAAATGGAATATACTCCTTGGCTCATTGTTGGCTTGGGTAATCCTGGAAACAAATACCACGGCACAAGGCACAATGTAATTATTCAGTTATTTGTGAAAGTGCTTGAATACACCTCTATTTGTAGTGAATCTTATGGTTTTCTCTATATTAGGTTGGATTTGAAATAATTGATAGCATTTCTCGAGCAGAAGGGGTGCAGATGAACACAATACAGTCAAAGGCCTTAATTGGAATAGGTGCATCATCCTCTAGACACTATTTTTTTTTATTACTTTTCCCCTCCTATTTACATATTTCATGCTAATTCTACATTAACTTATAATTTCTCCTGTGGTATGTATAGGTTCTATCGGAGAAGTACCAATTTTGCTGGCAAAGCCCCAAACATACATGAATTTTTGTGGGGAATCGGTTAGTTTTTACCATACACAATGGATAGATTTTGTATAAGACACACACGTACTTTAGTTTTCATCATACATAATAGCTGGAAAAATACTTATTGAAATTGATTACGGATCAACTATCTGATTCAATTCTTATTTGGACATGTTATGAATATTTATTTCATCAAAAAAATTATGATCGATGTTCTATCACCTTTTGTTTTACTTTTCTGTTACTGATTTTATCTTATATTTAATATTTTTTAAGGTTGGGCCACTTGCTGCATATTATCAAGTACCCTTGCGTCATATTCTACTAGTATGTATTTCTTACCTTCTGTTTTAATGACAATTTACATGTTTGTGGAAATTTTCTTTTAGCCATAAGTTTCTGGGAATTTTTACTTAGGTCTATGATGAAACAAGCCTACCAAATGGTGTTTTAAGGCTTCAACCTAAAGGTGGACATGGTCATCACAATGGGTAATGCTTGTTGTATTCATTAAGATTTTTTATGTATCACTATCAGAACAAAACATGATTTCAAAAGTTGGAATTATTAATTTAGGGAATCCACTTTACTAAAAGTGAGACAGTAAACAGACTTTCTACAAACTTGTTGGCATAAGACAGAAATTAAAATATCAAAAGTTAAGGTTATGGTTTTAGAATGCATAAATGGTGGCATACAAACTGAATAGAAAACCTACTGAAATTTCTTACCTCTTAATGATGAGATGGTTTATCGGCATAGCTTTATCACAAGCTGCTTCAACTCCAAAGTAGAAAACTCTTCTGCTTGAATTTTAACTTGATTGACTCTTATTATGGTCTAACCTGGATTCTCCATATTTTTTGAACCAAGATAATGATTTGAATCCTATCATTGGTAACTTATTCCTTATTGTAGCTCTTTCTTTTAATTTTTTTAAAAACTTTTACCTCAATACAGTTTAATGTTGAAGATTTGTTATAAATTATCTCAACTCAGATGATTTTATGGATAAGACACCAAGACTCATCGTAATATTGCAAACCTTTTTTTTATATAACTTATTTGGATACTGCTACATTTCTCTGTACTGGAAAATCATAAATTCTATAACTGGTGTTACATTGTTACAGATTGAAAAATGTGATGGGCCACTTGGACGGTTGCAGTGCCTTTCCTCGACTTGCTGTCGGTTAGTTCATTGCCTTCCATCACTTTATTAATTGTTATGGTCTCCTCAGTTGTTCCAGAAGTACTATATTTCAAATTTATGGTCGTAGGAATTGGAAACCCTCCTGGATCTATGGATTTAAGAGCTTTTCTTCTACAAAAATTCAGCTCAGTGGAACGAAAGCAGGTTACATCTACTCTTTTACCGAGCATGATTTGGTTTTAGTTCGTTTGTAATAGCATACCACTTTAATGTTCATACTAATTGCAATTTAAAGTCTTGTGTTATGACTTATGATAGGCCATAGATTATATTAGGAGTGTAAAAGCAATTTAGTATTTATGTAGGCATAATTTTATGTTTATGTGCATATTTGTTTTATTATAATTTCCTTTCTTAAATGACAGATTGATGCTTCATTGGAGCAAGGAGTTACGGCTGTTAGGACCCTAGTGCTCAATGGTTTTGACAACCATGTCAATAGATTCAATTTAGGGCAAAAATACAAGTACCATAAAGTTTAATTTCCACTCCAATTTGGCATAGATGAAATCCACGGTTAAATTGTTGTTTATGTTAGCAATTATATCTCACAAACTTGTCATGAGTCATGACCGATGCATTTTTAAAGCACGCCAATGGTCATATTCGGGTTCTGGCTAATAGTTGCTTCATGGTGCGAGAAATATAAGTTAATTGCTTTGACAAGTCCGCGAAAATGGTAGTTAGTGTGGAAGCAATCTTTGCTCTTGTGCTCCTCTGATAATAAGAGATGAACAAGTGAGCTCAAAACAAGCATCACAATACTTGTAAATTTGTTAGCCACACCATTATGGTACAAGTGTTGTTGATTTGGAACTTGTGACTATTGAAAATAGTTGACATTAGATGAAATAGAAGTCATTATTATTCACATAAACTATCATTAGTAACTATTATTCTTTATTTTGTCTAAATTATTTTTGGCTGTAGGATTTGAAGATGTTGGATCAGTTATTTGGAAAATAAAATACTCAAATAATAGTCTTTGATATAAGGTTCTTTTGTTAAAAAATAAATAATAAATTTAACAAAATGGGATCTTGCCCTGTTGGCTTCTTAGTGTGATGTTATCTAATAACTGTTATTCATCATCTCATAAGTTGAGTAATAAATTTTGATGAACAGTGGTGTGTCGATAAAAATGTATTAAGGAATATAACTTCAACAATAAAACTATCTAAAGCAGATGGGGATGCATTAATTTTTGCTGACAATTTTTTTTCCGGCTGCGGCTGTTATGGGTAGTTTTGATCCACTAACTAATATGGATAGCTGCTATTACTCAAACACTAAATTATTGGTAGTCTCTATTTTTTTTAAAAAAAAACTATACTTTTATTCTTTACATATATTAAAATATTCATTTTATCATTTATCTTTTTAAATTTGAATTAATTTGATCATTTAAAAAAAAATGAACATTTTTAATTTTATAACATGATTTTGAATTTTTTTATTGATCCAAGACTTAAAACTTGTAACATTAGATTTACTTATATAAAAATTATGAAATATAATTGATATTTAATTTTAAAAAATTATAAATACAGTAAAAATTGAGAGAAAATTAAATTTCATGAATAAGTAGAAAATATTATGAAACTAAATTTTTAAAAAAAAATTATTTTTACTATATTTATAACACATTTGATTTGAACTTCAATTGCATTCACTAGTTTCATATAAGTGAATTTTATGAGACAAGTCTTAAGTTTTCAATAAATTCAAAAGGACCAAATTGATCTAAATTTAAAAAATAAATGACCAAAATTGTAACGTAGTTGAAAAAAAAAAAGATTCAGTAGCCAGAACGAGCCGTTCCCAAATTGGAACGGGCCGTTCCAAACTACTGATTTGGCCTTACAAAAATGTAGGAGAACGGGCCATTCCGGAAAGGAGAACGGGCCGTTTCGGAGGGAGAACGGGCCGTTCCAGAGGGAGCACGGGCCGTTCTGGATGAGTCCCGGAACGGGCCGTTCTGGGGAAATCCGAAAGTCTATAAATAGGAGTTGGGGGCCTTCAGGAAAATTGGAGTTTTTAGAGAGAAGTTTTAGAGAGAAGGTCTCTGGGTCAGTGAGCTCCTTTCTCTCCCAAATTTCTCTGTTTGACTCCTTTTCTCCTCTAGATCACTAACTCCTTCTGACTTTTCTTGAAATTCAGATTAGAAAGCTTTCTTTGGGAGGATTGAAGTTCTGGGTTGAGCTTTGGAAGGGAATTCTATTTCGTCACAATTGTTGGCTTTTTGAGCCGATCTTCAGGTAAGGGAAGCTAGAATGTGTGTTATTTAAGTTGCATGTGAGATTAGAAATTCAATTGATGCATCAGATGGGTGCATGTAGATTTGGAAGTGTGTTTTTGTGTTTGCATGTGACTAGATTTGTTGGTTTGGATGAGAGTTTCGGAACTCTCTGACTGGGATTAGGCTAGGCGCAGGTTGAGCGCCCCAGGCGTGGAAGAGCTTAGGGCTCTCGGATTGAATGTTGGGTCAGGCGTGATTTGGTTGCGTTAGGCGTGGAGACCCGTAGGAGTCTCTGTCTCAAGGATACCAAGCGTGAGTTGAACGCGCTGGGCGTGGATGAGTTTTAGGACTCTCAGGTTGGGATTAGGCTGTGCGAGCTCAGGCTACGCCGAGCGTAAATATGTTTATAAATAATTATTTTAAATTGATGCTTATGCATGTTTAAAGTTAAAATGTTAGATCATATATGTGTGATATATGATGTATGGTGCGATGTGATTCATATGTATGCTTTGTGATGATACGTATGAATGTTCGAATATGATATGACATGTGTATATGTTCATATGAGTATGCTTATTGATCATAATGGTGGGTAGACCATGTATGATGTATGATGCATTATTGTATGTGATGTCTTATGACATGTGTATGATTGTTGATCATTATGGTGGGCAGACCATATATGATGTATGATGCATGATTGCATGTGATGCCTTATGGCATGAGTCTAGCCTAGGACTTGAGGAGAGGAAAAATATTTTCGAACTGGAAGAGCTCACATAGAGTCTCTTGAGAGTGGTGCTTGGATAGGCCACTGATATATGAGAGTGGTGCTCTGGGAGGCCACTGGATTTGGGAGAGTGGTGCTCAGATAGGCCACTGGGTTGGGTGAGTCTCCTCTAAGTCCTTAGCTAGTGTTGGAGCGGGGTATGAGGTCGAGGGTTATTCCCTTAACCAAGTACTCGGGAAGGTGCGTGGATCCTTGCGGATAGTCGGTGGGCGAACTCCACAATTGACTTGGTTAATGCATGCCAAGGTCGTGGTAAGCCCGTACCCAGCTGTGCTATACCTGACGGTGGATCTGGACTTCCAATTGTGTAAGTGACATCATCCGAGTAAACCCCGAGTGAGGATTTATATCCTGTTTAGTCGTGATCGAGCGGGCGCATTGGGCGTGAAAACGGTTGGGGTGGTTTCGGTAGGATGGAATGTCACTTATACAGCTCTATTGTTACGGAAATCTCCTAGGTGTATGCGTGACGACGCATTAGATTATTGATATGCATTGATATCTGTCATGAGATGCATTTATTGCATGATTATTAATATGATGAAGTGTGGTGTTTGACTTCATGATTTGTGGATTGTACTTTATATATGAGTAGTATTGGATAGAGTGTATGGTGTGACTCTATGATAGTTGGATGATTGTGTAGTATAGATTATTGTTCTATACTTGTATGACTGATTTGTGAATTCTAGCTTACCCTTCTGTTTTCCATGTGGTGGAACTGCGATGATCATACTTGGTATGGGAGCAGGTCAGGACTAGCTTGGAGTTGAGGTGTCCGCTGCGAGACGGGGAGTTTTGATCCTCGTGTTAGAGTTACCATTTTAGGTAACGGTTTTGTCTGTGCTTGACCGACACTAGGAAATATTATTTATGGGATGACTGTACATATATGGCGTTTTATTTTGTATTTAAGAAATTTAGTTATTTTATTTTTATCTATACCTGTATGTATGAGTTATCCAACTTATTATTTCTCCTAGTTCACTAGTAGTAGTGCGATTCCACTAAGTATAGAGACAATGGCGGGTCGTTACAAAAATAAACATTTAAGAAGATATAGGATTAAAATGAATTTAAAAAGTAAGATAAAGGATCAAAAATATAATTTTATCTTTTATATATATATTAAGGTCAAAATACTTTGTATTTTTAACACTTACACATAAAAAATATTAGATGATTGTGGATTAGTTATTCAAAGAAGATATGATTTTTTTTTAACATTTAAAAGATATAATGATCCATTAAAAGTAAGACAAAAAATAATTATATACTATAATATCTCATTTATAATAGGTATAAATAATATCTTTATTATTTTTTTATTATATTTTTTATATATAACATTTTTGTTGTATTTCACAAATAGGACTTTTATTTATATTCCATTTAAAAAAAAAATGGAAGTCGTGTTATCAAACCCAATTTTTTTTTTTTTTTACAATGGCAAAGTAGTGATTCCGATCCAGAACTTGGCTTTTTTTTTTTTTAATGTAAAGTGAAAATTAAAAAAAAAAAATTGTTTTAGTATCATGATATGATATTGCTAAAAGGATTTACCGACTTATTCAGATACTAGTCTCCCTCCCAAGACTAAGTATTTCATAAAACTCAAACTCAAAATTTAATGTTTGAAAACCAACCGCAATAATGTTGGTAGAAAAAAAAATTCATGTTTGAAAACACTGCTTCCACTTAAAATAAATAAATAAATACAAGAAGGTAAAAGGCGTATTTTACAAATATAATTTACCCATTTTAATTTTTTTTTAAATTACCCATTTCTATCTCTTCCGGGTAAAAACCCACTTGCTTTTAGTCTTCAATATTCTTTAAGATACAAGACAAACAGTGTACTCTTTTTATAATCTTTGTAATTGGAGTAAATCAGTGAATAGTATATATATTAGCTGTATAATTTTACAGTTATTTTACCATAAATATTTGTAATAACTATCTTATCTTTATTTTTAATTATTTAGTTGACAATAAGAATTTATTTTTATTCACAGCATAAATATTGAAATCTTAAAAATAAATATTTCAAGAATTTCAATTAAGAATTATTAAATATATACATGTCATATTAAATATTAAAGCAGTGGTTAATGTAAAAATCCAAGTGTACAATAGAACTTGAGATTCTTTGACTGAGTGGGACCCTCCCCATTTAGGAACGTTGGAGTTAGATTTATTAGCCGTTACAAACTCAAAGAAACACTATTTCACAAAGCAAAACACTGAAAAGTTAAGATAAGTCCGATGAATGAACACAACGTCTCTCTGCAACAACAAAGAAACCCCACACTGGACACCATCTCCTTCATCACTCTCTCCTCCATGCAACCCTTCCTCACCATGGATCTCGAGAGAGGCCCTAAGTACGAGGAGTACGCTCAGTTGAGGGAAGCAAAGCTTCGCATGAAGTACCTAAGACAACAACAATTCGATCAAGAAATGGAAGCAGAAACGAAAGCTGCGACCCCACCAAGGAAAAAGCAAGTCAAGTTCCAAGGTGGTGTGGTTTCTGGGAGAAAAGGGTCTTCTCTGGTGGCTCAGTCTGTGCCGGATTTTAGTGCTGCGTTGAGGAAGGAGAATCGAAAGCCGAACGTGTTACCTTCTTTGATGGAGTTGACGCCTCCGTCGAAGAGTGTTTGTGGCAGTGCAAATGCAAGAGGGAGCAAGTCAGCGAGTGCTGGTGAGAAGAGAAGGGGTGGTGGTGGGGTTCTCATGCCGAGGAAAAGCTATGCCAGCATTGATGAACTCAAGAGTTTGTCTTCTGCTACTGCAAATGCTATCAATGGTGAGTGTAGAGGAGGAGTAAGAAGTAGCAGGGTCATGGCAACAAGAAAAACTGTTTTAGGCTACAGACATTTGATTTGAGGAGTGTGGTGTTTGGAGTCGCTCAATGGAGTTTTCCTTAAACCTTTCATTTGTTTGTTTATTTTGGTGATATATGTCTTCACTGCTCATTTATTACTTTTCATTCTTTATAAGTACAATTTGCATTTTTTTTCTTTTGTATTTGGGAGGAACTTACAGTTCTATGTAGGTGCAAAGCTAGTATCTATTACCATGACACTGTTGTAGAGAGAATAGTTTTAGTATTCCTCTATTTATTGGAAGGACTTTTCTTGTGTTTTCGAATGAAGTATATCTTATGAAAATAGGCTAAATCTTCCGAATAAGGAGCTTGCTTGTCCTTTGTAAACTGTATATGTAAATTGTACATTATTTTCAAACTTGTTGAAGTAAAGCTAAAATTAGCTTATGATCCATTGATAAGTTTAATATCATAAACTAGTTCTCCAACACCAAAATACAAGCCTTTTATGTAGATTCTACAAGATGTTAAACTTGAATAAATCTTAAGTAGATTTTACAAAACACACCGTCCATTTTTATTTTTCTGGGATTCCAACATGGAGTTCACTTCAATCAACTAATTTTGGGTCTCTTTAGTTTATCAAGACATTAACTGATATGTTGGTGGCCATTTTACGCAAATCACAGGCATATAAAATTGAAAAAATATAAAACAAAAAACTTGGTCACTGGACTTTATTTTGTCCACTAATTCAAAGAGCCAAAAGGAAGCCTACATCAGAAATTCCATAATCCTATTTGTACAAAAAAAATTACACTTGTTAGATCAGAACATCTAGCCAGAGAAATAACTGGTGAGCTGTCGCATGACCAGCAGAAAGGAATTTTAGAAGGAAATGGAGCCCTGCTTGCAACCTACTACAATTTCTTCAACAACTTCATCAACCAACGTTTGAAGTAAATCCCCATCTATATCAACACCTGTTTCAAATGCTTCAATATCAAAGTCAGTCCATTTCCCAGAGGAGTGGCTCATTTCCCATTCTATTATTTCATCAGGTACCATCCCAACCATAGATAACCACTTGTTGATCTCCCTCTTGACCTCTTGAGCTAACATCTCAGCCTTCATGCATAATGGCAGCTTTGTCCATGCCTTGAATCCACAGTTAAAATATTGGCAGCAGTTTGATTCTATATATTCTATAACACAATCAAGGAGAAACCCCTTCAGCTCCTTTCTCTGTCTAGAATCCTCACAACCCAAAACAAAACCATTAAAATCTGTCCACATAGCTTCACCCACCATCGCATCCAGATCATCAACAAGAAACCGGTAAATTAGAAGTTGTGGCCCTTCATCCTCTCTGCGGACTGCTGTGATTCCAAGCAGTAACTCAGCATGCAAGAGAATATCCTTCATATGGTTGAGCTTGATTCTTGTCAATTCTGTCCCAAAAGAGCATAAAATCTCTAATGCCCTGGGAATTTGGTTGACAAGATCACTCAGTTTCTCACCTATCCTCTCCTTGTTAAAGGATGTTGCAGAATCTGAAAGTTTGGTATCATGTTCCAATTGTTCCAGTTGACCACAAGAGTAATTCAATGAGTCAGGGTGAAAACCATGCCCTGGAATTAAATCAAGGAACACAGACATAAACAAGAGAACTTGGCCCCAAAACCAAAGGGATTGAATAAATTGTATTTAGAAATCACTTTTACATAAATCACTTTTTTTTTTTTTTTAAATTCCACTTCACCTGAGCTTTCATCAAGACTACTGGAAGAAAAGGAAGCTTCCAAAACAGATCCAGGACTCAGATGATTAGCATTGCAAGAGGTTCCTAATAACCTTTCTTGTTTTGCCGCATACTGACAAGAAACATAACGAAAGATAATATCAGGTATTTGTCAGAATTCCAATTTCCCATCAATCAGAGTACAAATTTTAATACAATGGGACAAGTGTATTTGGGAATTACAATACAAACTTCAGTATAATCACATTACAATTAAATATAATTGTTTCAGGAAACATTTTATTAAAGGCAAATAATGATAGTCAGCATACAGCATCCGAAATATGGAAATTTACAAGATTAATTGAACATTGTAAAGTTATTTTAAAAATTAATTATGTAAATGGGATCATTTTAAAACTATTTACACCCTTAGAGTTGTTTACTGTATAGTTGCTATGGGACTCTAGTATCACGTGTCCTTTTTTATTCTTTTATTTTTTTTAAGAAGCCTTGAGAGTCATGAAGCAAAATTCGCACATATAGTGACTTATTTTTTTATTTTCTTGAATTCGCTACATTTTATAGCGACTAAAATAATTTCTTTTTTAAATCCTACAAATCAATTTTTTTTTATATTTAAAAAGGTCATTATAAGTCATAACAACACTATTTAATATCTTTTTTATATAAAAAATAATTTATTTAATTTTTTAACATATAACATTTTAAAAAAATTTAAATATTTTTTATGGCTAACATTGTTTCTTAAAAATATAGTAAAAAATAAATTCAATTTTTCAATATAAAATATATAATTAATATATATATATATATATGTGTGTGACTA